ATGAATTATATGATTATTAATTACAATCATAATCATATATTATATGATATTAATAAATATTTGTGAATGCAGGTAATGCAGGTTCACATTGTTTTTATGGCTCGTTTCAGGTGTTGAAGTTGCTAATCATGGCGTGGGACCGTCGTTTGATCTTCACCATCGGGACGTCCAGCACCACGGGAGAGACGGACACGGTGGTGTGGAACGAGATTCACCACAAGACCGAGTTCGGCTCCAACCTCACGGGCCATGGCTACCCCGACCCCAACTATCTGGACAACGTGATGAGAGAACTGGCCGCCCATGGCGTCGGAGAGGACAACCTGAAGGACTGAGGCTCGGTCCACACACACACACACACACTCAAGCTGAAGAGTTCCTGACCGCCGGAGACACCTTTGACCTCTCTGGGAACGACGGTCCTCGCTGACTCCGAGTGAAAGACGAGGAGATGTGGAAGATGGAGTGACGAAATCAATACAAATTACTCTAATCTGTTCCTCATTCACTGTCACAGCTCTCTTTCTCTCTCTCTATCTCTTGCAACGCTCTTTTTCAAGGCTACGCAGAATGCATCTGGGCTCAGACCAGTGCATGTGGTAGTTGTATATACACACACATTAGTGGTTGACCGATATGGGTTTTTCAGTGGCGATGCCTCTACAGATATAATATGTCATATCTAGGGCTGTCAAGTGATTCAAATTGTTTAATCTAATCAGTTGCAGATTAATCATCAATTTTGGCTGAGAAATTTCCCCCAAAAGATTGTTTATTGTGGTATATGAGAAAAAGCTTTGATTAGACATTACGGAAAAGTAGCTTTAGAAAGAAATATTTCGATTCAGTATTGCGTAAATATTGATAATTGTTTTCTTTTAAGTATTTCTTTCTTTTTGAGTATTGGTATATGGTCATTGGTAAAAAATGAAATTAATTTGAAAGTAAAACCTGTTGTAGCAAATCACGGTCTTAATGAGTGAGTCGTTGAATTATTCATCCAACCGATTTATTCAAGCAGATGATTCGGTCAGAAACTAAGCAGGTGACTGTCTCTATGAACGAGTCACTGATTCATTCAAATGGCTGATTCGTTGAGAAATATAGCTAGCGACTGTCTTAATAAATCATTGGCTCACTCGATTTGTTCAAATGGCTGATTCAGTCAGTAACGAAGCAAGTGACTGTTTTAATGAATGAGTCACTGAATCAATGGCTCACTCAATTCAATCAAATGTCTGATTCGTTCAGTAATGAAGCTAGTGACTGTCTTTATGAATCAGTCACTGAATCATTGGCTCACTTGATTCGTTCAAACAGCTGATTCTTTCAGAAACGAAGAAAGTGACTGTCTTTATGAATGAGTCACTGAATCATTGGCTCACTTGATTAATTCAAACAGCTGATTCTTTCAAAAACGAAGTAAGTGACTGTCTATATGAATCAGTCACTGAATCATTGGCTCACTCGATTTGTTCAAAAACACGGATTCATTCAGTAACAAAACACCGTGTTGCTTGCTGTGCTTAATGCAGAAGAGTCTTTATAAAATTAAATAAACACCTATTTTACCCATTGTTTACTAGAAAATGTTGACGTTTGTAAGCTAAATGAACGCCTCTTAATCTGCCAATTAGTAGCTGATGCTGATGATCTCAAAATCACCAAATATCAGATGATTCATTCCATTTCTTGATATATCGGTCTACCACTGCATCCAATATCTGTGCATTCCATTGGATAACATGGAGAAGTTTTGTTTCCATGTTGACTTTTTTTAAACTGCATCACTTTCAGACAGTTTTCCTGATGTTTTCTGCCTGAAACAGCATCAGTTTGGCCTCCGTATATGTAACAGATTAAAGGAGGAAGCCTGTAGTTGTTGCGCTTGTAGGGAAATCGGTGTAGATGGATCCGTAAGCAGATTTTTGGGGCTGTTTTTGATGTTTGTGCAAGCGATGCATAAAATATCTGCACTTCAAAACATTCAGCTCTCCGGCTCGTGTGCTACTTTTGAACTTCAGAGCAATTAGCGGAGCTCAGAGCGAACGCTGAGATTTGAGGATCCTTCTGTGTGCGTTTTAACTTTTAGAATGAATTAGATGAATAGGATGTCTTCTTGAAATATGCAATGATTCATATCCTATCTTGCTTTGTTTCTCTTTTATGTCATTGATCTGAGAGCGTGGCGTTCTGGCTGCAGACGGGTTTATTATCTGTGCTGTGTTTGGATTGGAATACTGACATACTACTTTACTAGAATACTGCACACAGTATACAGTACTATTTTGAAAATGCAGGCGTTATTTCATGATGAATGTTTTAAATAATTGTCCTTTTGAATTGCATGCGAGTGGCGTCCAGTTATGATGTTGAATAAATACGATTGTTGCCAATTTTTAGTTCAATTTTGTGCACTAAGGTGTGAATTTAAGGCAGTCAAATGATCAAATAATGAATCAAAATAGTCAAAATTGTGGCTGACATTTCTAGTTCATTTGTCACACTGGAAATAAAGTTGAGCATTTTGCAGTGGTTCTCAACCAAGGGTCCGGGGCCTCAAAATTACTTAAATGATTTAAAATATAATTAAAAAAGACAAAACAAGCATTTAAATAAGCTAAAGCAAAAAAAAAAAAATCTAATTTTGAGTAACTAAAACTCAAACCAAAAGTAACTAAAAATTGTTAATTGGAATAAAAAAAAAAACATACTAAAATAAAATGAAATTTAAAAAAAAAATTCAGATTATTTCAGCTATTGCCAAAACACAATTTCTCATTTTCATTTAGTTTAACCTGAAGTACTAAAATAACTAAAACTAAAACTGAAGCAAAAATGAATAAAACTATATAGACATAAAAAACAATAACTAGTGAAAATGACACACAACCTATCCTTTAAAACTAAAATGGAAAATAGAAAAAAAAAAAAAAAAAATTATTGATTAAATAATAAAATATAATATAAATGATCAATGAACTAAATAAAATTACACTAAATTAACACTGAACCAGGGTTCCCACAGTCTTTGAAAACCTGGATGAGAAATCCTCATTTTGAAAGTGATTTCTGTATCTTAAAAATCATATAAATTAATAAAATCGTAAACCTCCTTAGGCACTTTTATAATCAATATACATTTTACTAGCTATGCCAAGCTCTGAAATATTTTATCGGGTAGAAACTATGAGTAAAAATGATGCTTATGCTTAATTTTTATCCAGTAAATCAGGAAAGACTGGAAAAGTCATGCAAATTCAGGAAACTTCAGCACCTAAAACGTCTGCAATCCTGAAATGTAATTGTTTAAAACTTTAATTATGTTTATTTCAGATGCTTTTTTATTTTCAGAAATAGAAACAGATGCTTTTTTATTTTAAGGAGTTCACATAAATCAAAATGCATTTTGTGAAACAAAACTAGGGCTTTATGTTTTTTTTAATATTGTTGTGGACAATGAAGGCCCTTGGAGTCAAAAAAGGTTGAGAAACACTGGCATAGTGCAATTACAGTATTTCATACAGTGTGCCCCAGTTGCACATTTTGTCAAATGCATTGGATCATGCACAGAAAATTGACATGTAAACATTCTGTAGAAATAGTAGTATGGTCTGCTCTGTTCTGAACACAGCCCTCATGTTTCTGAGCCCATAGCAGATAAATCACGACTCAAACTCCTCTCAAGGTTATCAGAGATAACGTCTCCAGAGAGCTGTGAGAAACACACACTCATTATGCCGTCCGTTGAGATGTGAGCGCAGCGCTGTTATCCATCACAGCCTGGGTGGTGTGTGCTCTTGCTTTCTTTGCAGATCTGACGCCGGTTTGTGACGTTCAGAGACGTTTCCCAGAGCTAGCGATTCCCTCGGGGTCTGTGAACTGTGATTTATTTCTGCGGTGACTCTGATACATGTTTGTGTGTCATCTGGAAGCCAAAGATCGTGACGCCATCGTACAGTCTCTGAAGGGCCGTTCACACTGACAGCGTTTTACAGCAACAAACCAAGCTTTTCGTTTTCATAACCATTGTTTTTCTCCGTTTACAGCCATTCGGAAGTATCTGTGCATTCTGAATCTTTTTTTTTTTTTTGCACGTAGTATATAAATCACAGTTTTAAAGTTAAAATGTTCTGCTCACCATGCCTGCATTTATTTGCTCAAAAATGTCAGTAAAAACAGTAAAATTGTGAAATATTACAATTTAGTTTTCTATGTGAATATATAGTCAAATGTGATTTATTCCTTTGATCAAAGCTGTATTTTCAGCATCATTACTCCAGTCTTCAGTGTCCTTCAGAAATCATTCTAATATGCTGATTTGCTGCTCGAGAAACATTTCTGATTATTATTAATGTTGAAAATATAATATTTTTGCAGAAGCTGTCATTTTTAGGCTTCATTGATGAATAGAAAGTTCAAAAGAACAGCATTTATTTGAAATAGAAATCTTTTGTAACATTATAAATGTCTTTACTGTCACTTTGATCGATTTCATGTGTACTTAGTGAATAAATATATTAATTTCTTCCAAAAAAAACCCAACAACATTTGAACAGTAGTGTATTTCATGACATTTTAGCTGTGTCAGTTTGAACGGCTCTTAAGACTCATAGACGATGCTGTTTTTAACGCTGTGGATGATTGAACAGCCCACAGATCTGCAGTCTTCCTCCATCCAGAAACGCAGAATCTCTCTGATTGTGTCTTGAAATGTCTGTACGCATCTTTAGTTACTCTCGTGTCTTGTAATGCTTAGAAGAACTCAATCGAGTACAATATATAGAGGTCAACATATAAACACATACATTTAAGAGTGTGATATATCTTTGAAGCGTTTAAATTATTTTTATACTTACACATGACGCACATATATCTACACACATATACACGTGTACATATTTGATACATGCTTTTTTGTCGAATCTGACAGTTTGTCAGTAACGTCAGGGACTGTTACCGTGTTCTGAGCGTCTTACATTAGCCGTGCCGTTCAAGCAATGATCGCCGTTGCTGTCGATGATGTCGGTGGGAAGGATTGGTTTGTGTGACTTTTAACTTGCCCACCCAAATGGATCGTGTACCTTTATATATCTGCAGGGAATATTTCATTCGTCATTCATATAAGCACTGCTCCATGTGCACTGTCTGATATCACTGGAGTTCCTTAAAAATGCCTTTGCATTGTTTGAGCCTGTACAAACTGCATTTTTGTGTTGAATTTCAGTGTAACTTTGAGATTGGAGAATTAAAGTGTTATTTCAGCGTCATTAACATTTTTATTAATATTTTGAATTTTTTTATTTTTATATTTTCTGTTTTTTTTATTTTAATTAAAGTTTTAGTAATTGCATTGTGTATTTTTTTGCCATTTTTGTGTTTATTATTTGTCATTATTTAAATGTCTGTATAGTTTTCATTTAATTTAATTTCAGTTTAATTTCATTTGACCCTCTTAAGGTTACTTTTTGTAACCATTTTAACCAAATTTAACGTTTACATTTAAATTGAACCTTTTTATTATTATTATTAATGTCTATGTAGTTTTTACTTTTTCAGTTAAACTAAACAAAAATTTTAAATGTTGCTTTGGCAACTAGCTGAAATCAAATATTATATTTTATTTCAGTTCATATTTATTTTATTTTAATTAACAAAAATGTTTTTCAGTAGTTTTAGTTAATAAATAATAACCCTCAAAAATGTGTTTGGTTAATAAACCGTCAGTGCAGTTCTGAAGCTATTCGTATCAAAAAGAAATCTTGACTATAATGGCTTTTTAGGTTACATTTTTTAACCATTTTGACCAAATTGAATACATTTATAATCACATTTGAGCTTTTTTACAGTTCACTTCAATCATTTTGTAGTGTTAGAAATGAATGATCCATGTAGTCTCTCAATTATAAAGCTCAAAAGAATGACACTCATAGTAATTATACAAGAATTAGTGTCATTTTAAATAGTTTTTGGGTGTTTTACGACACTGCTGTCACTGTTTGACATGTCAACAACCAAAATACTACCAGACTTTAAGAAACTTTTGTGAAGGTAAATTGAATGGCATGTTTGAGATATGAATTTGAACTGGGTTTGTACAGGCACTGTAGCTTTAATGCGTTGTTGTTGTTCATCTTTCTCATAGTCTGTGTGTACTTTCTGAAAGATATGATAAAAAGAAAAAGGATAAAATGGATCTGAGTTGAAAATATCCTGCGAGAGAATTTACGAGAGTTTTATGAGAGACTTGGACCGATTATGCAATTCTGTAAGAGATGCGTTGAACGTTGTTTTCATCCGAGCAGATGTTGTGTTTTTACCCAGCATGCTTTGTGTGCTCTTTTCAAAGGTGACTAATTAGACCCCCCTCATTAGACCTAATTAGATCATTTATCACCTGTCCACATGCTTCATCCCAAAATAACTCATCATTTTTAGGAGTTTGACTATGGCCTTTTTATAGTGAGGCGGAACATCGTCCTCTCAGCTGCATGTTGATTATGAGCTTTTAGGACATTAGAGATGTTTTCAGGAGAAAGATTGATTTGAAATAGTTGTATGGCAAGCTATTTTAACATTTAACACATTTCAAATGATTGCTATTCACTTCAATGGGGATCTGTCATTCAGATATCAACTATTCGGTTCTGACTATTATGTATTCCAGTTGTGACTAGTACATATTTTTTACATACTAGTAGTTATTTATTAGGTACTAGTACTTATTAAACTCTAGTTTCTTTTGTAATTGTTACTAGTAAAAATTATCTCACTAGTCACAACTGCTTTTTTATTTGTCTTATGACTTGTCAGAATGACCACTGGCAAGCCATTTTAACAGTTAGTCCTTAAAACGTACTAATATCTATTTTCTTGCTACTAGTACTTATTTTTTTTAGCTATTAGTATCTATTCCATTAGGTAGTAGTACTTATTCATTAGCTACTAGTGCTTATTCTTTAGGTACTTGTACCTTTTTAAAAAGATACTAGTACTTATTCATTAGATAGTAGTACTTGTTTCAGTAGTGACTAGTAACTATTCTATTGTTTCTAGTAACACATTTTGGATTTTTCCATTAAATTCTATGGGGATCTGTCATTCAGATATCAACTGTTCAGTTCTGTTTAGTGTAGTATGTATTCCAATTGTGACTAGTATATATTTTTATATACTAGAAATTGTTCATCAGGTACTAGTACTTATTTTTTAAGGTACTTTTACCTATTAAATAGATACTAGTACTTATTGTTAGATAGTAGTACTAGTCATAATATACGACAAGTAAAAATCAGTTGTGACTAGTATAATAAGAGTTGTTGCTAGTAATGATTACAAAAGATACTAGTGTCTAATAAATAAGTACTAATACCTAATGAATAACTACTGGTATCTATTGAAAATGTACTAGTACCTAAAGAAAAATAATAGTATTTAATAATACTTTAATGAATACTTAATAATAATCTAATGAATACTTATTAATACTATACACATACTACACATACTAGTCAGAACTGAATAGTTAATATCTGAAGGGAATATTTCCATAGAAGCCAATGGTAAAAATTTGAAATGTGTCACTAGTTACAGAAGAATGAAGATGAAATAAGTATCAGTATCTAATACATAAGAACTAGTATCTAATGAAAAAGTACTATTACTTAATGGAATATATACTAGTAGCTAACAAAATAGGTACTAGTAGCAGTCAAATAGATACTAGTACGTTTTATAGATTAAATGTTAAAACGCCTTGCATTATTTTTAGTAGTATCTAATCAATGAGTACCAGTATCTAATAAATAAGAACTAGTACCAAATGAATAAGTACCAGTATCTTTTAAAAAGGTATCAGTACCTAAATATTAAGTACTATTAGCTAATGAAATTGATACTAGTAGCTAAAAAAGGTACTAGTAGCATGAAAAAATAGATACTAGTTTATAGATGAAATGTTAAAACACCTTGCATTATTGGAAGTAGTATCTAATTAATGAGTACCAGTATCTAATAAATAAGAGCTAGTACCAAATTAATAAGTACCAGTATCTTTTAAAAAGGTACTAGTACCTAAAGAATAAGTACTAACAGCTAAAGAATAAGAACTAGCACCTAATGGAATAGATACTAGTAGCTTAAAAAAGGTACTAGTAGCGTGAGAAAATATGTTTTAAGGATTAAATGTTAAAACGGCTTGCCATAATAGATGCGTATCTGTGTTTAGTGTTTATTGCGGCTTTTGGCTTTGGTTGCGAATCGCAGCGGAAGGTGAGAGTGTCACATGGAGACAGCGGATCAGTCAGGTGATTTCAGACCATATGGCACTTAAAAAGAGCCACTGACGAGCTGATCCGAGCCAAATCCGTCATCCCAGATTCATTAGCGTTTTATAATGAAATGCATTTGATGGAACTGAAATAGCAGGATCGAGAAAAGCTGTTTCCCAGAAGGAAATACGCTTTCTGAGGAGAATAATTTTCTAGCTGGCACACATTTAAGTGTGTCAACCTCAAAATCTGCTCTTCTCGGAGATCTTTCTGAATATATATGTAGAGGACATTGGTAAATGGTGAAGTGCTTGATGTTAATGTGCGTTTCTGGGGGCAGATTTTTAATGAGTTGTGATTTTTATTTTTATTTTTCATTTGGCCTCATATGAACCATTGAAGTCAAATAAAAGTGCATGGATTTGTTCCTCATATCATAGACTCTTACAGGCAATAGAATTAACATGTACATTAACAGAATTGATTTCAAATATCAGACAAATTGTTGTTTGATGAAACAATACAAGGGCTTTTATGATACGTGTCTTAATGAATCTGTTATGATCTTGTTGCATGTCTGTGTTTCCTGTGAAATAAACCCTCTCCTTCAGCAAAGGGAGATTGATTTGACTTTAGTCTTTCTGTTCGTATTTCTTCTCTTCTCTTTTGTCTAGGATGCATTGCTATTGACGGCATTAATGTCCAGTGATTGTTGAAGCTCTCAGCGGCTGATGCAGCAGATTTAATTCATTGGACTTTTACTTAAGTGCCTCTTTATTTCTCCTGTTTCGTCAGCAGTTATTTGTTCCTAAGTTTAAAATAGAGCCGAGCCGATGAGTCAATATTGACCTGTTGGAAGTGATCATTATCATTATGAAGAAAACAAATGTTCTAGCTCAAGGAATAGAGCTGAGGATGTGAGTATGAACAGATAAAATGAATGCAATACGAATGGAATATAAGTTGCTTTGGGTAAAAGCATTTGCTGGGTCAGCGAGATTTCTTTTTTTTTTTTAAGACAATAATGCTTTTATTCATAAAGGACACATTAAATTAAAGGGGTCATATGACATTGCTAAAAAGAACATTATGTTGTGTATTTGCTGCAATCAAATGCGTTTATGCGGTTTAAGGTTCAAAAAACACATTATTTTCCACATACTGTACATTATTGTTTCTCCTCTATGCCCTGCCTTTCTGAAACGCGTCGATTTTTACAAAGCTCATCGGTCTGAAAAAGCGAGGTGTGCTGTGATTGGCCAGCTATCCAGTGCGTTGTGATTGGCCGAATAATACCTCAAGTGTGTCCGGGGCGCGAGGGGCGGCGGCTTCTATCAGCGGCTTCGTCCTTCTCTCTGCCCACGGCGCATGAAGGGACTAGACGGCCCAGCATCTTTGCCCGACGGCCGTGTAATGGGTGCGGTTCTCGTCCGGACTGCACTCTGGCGGCACGGGAGTCCCTCTACGCATCCCTCCTGGATCCACGAGGACACCAGCGTGCATGCACGGGGAAGAGACCGGTCTCCCGAGGAGAGGCACGCTCGGCATTTAAACAGCGGCGGCGATGAGGCTCCATTCGGTTCAGGTGTGCCCCATCACACGCCGCCAGCCCTGGCTATTTCAGCACCCCTCCTCTCTCACGCACCCACTCATGTCGGGAGCCTGGCGAAGGGCTGCGATTAAGGGCCGGGGTGATGCTGATAATTAGGGGGAGGCAGCCGACTCGTCACAGTGTGTTGATATCCAGCTGAAGAGCAATCAACCATAACTTCAGGCGAGCAGGCTCAGAAGTCGGTTTGAACAATCCAGATAAGCGCAAGTAAGTACCATTTTGATTAGCCGTACGAACAGCTTGTAACACTCCAAAGAGAAAGGAAAACTTGAAAAAAAAAAAAAGTGACATTAAAGACATTTGTCATGTTACAAAGGATTTCAAATAAATGTTGTTCTCTTGAACTTTCTATTCATCAAAGAATCCTGAAAAATAAAAATGTATC